ATCAGCACAAGACGTACCGTCTCCTGACAATGTTCCGCGGTAGCCTCATTTCTCTCATCTTTACCAAGACTCTTCGTATAAGTGCTACTAAGATTTCTGATGCCGAAGCTATCACCCTGATGAGCGCTGATATTGATCGCATTGCTCTTAGTCTGGAGTTGGTGCACGAGTTCTACTCCAGTTTCATTGAAATTGCATTGTCCATGTGGCTACTGTACAGACTACTTGGTGTCGCCATGGCGGCTGCCACTGCCCATGTAGTTGGTGCGAATATACCTCATCCCGCTGAAGATGTATCTTCACTCTTATTATAAACGGTGCATGCTGACGTGACTTCCAAAAGCATGCCTAGTGTTAGGAATACCTATAGCCGCCGCTGCAGGCAATGCAAACGTCCCGTGGTTAGAAGCTATCGAGAGACGCTTGGCTGTGACGACGAAAATGCTGGGTTCGATGAAGGCAATCAAGATGACTGGCCTAACAGACGTCATGTCTGACGTCGTTGCGGGCCTCAGATCTTTAGAGATTCGTGCGTCACGCCGCCATCGTATCTTCACTGTCCTGGAAGCGGTTACATGTGAGTATTTCCGTTGCCATGCGGTGATGGCAACCCAAATTGACGAAATTGAATCTGCAGCATACACATCCGATGCGTTCTCCTCCGTATGGGGGTTTGGGGTCTTCATTCTTCTTGCGCAATCGAATAACACTACGACATTGACGGAAGGCATTGCATTCTCGGCACTGTCGATTTTCTCCCTCCAGGTCCAGCCTTTGACATTTATATTGAATGGTTTTGAAGATATTCAAACAATCATTAACTCGTTTAACCGCATACAAGAACATCTGGCATCTGAAGAAAGAGAAGACCCTAGAGACACTCCGGAAACTAGGAATAATCTCGAAAGGGACTCCTCCTCCGAGACTTCGCTCGGATTGGGAGAACCGAAAGCAGTACCCCTAGGATCTGTGTCCGCACTGGGCGACCAAAATGTTGCCATTGCCATCAAAGACGTCACAGCTGGATATTCCGCCGAGTCTTCCATTCTCAATGGCATAAATCTCGAAATTAGCCGTGGCAAAACGACCGTGGTGGTGGGACCAGTAGGATGCGGCAAATCAACCCTCTTGAGACTTATTCTTGGTGAGATGCCTGTGACTAGCGGAACAGTCTCTACATCATTCTCAAGGGCAGCATTCTGTCCACAGTCTCCATGGATCACCTGGGGCACAATCCAAAATAATATCATTGGAATGTCAAGGTGGGATAAGCCCTGGTATAATACTGTGGTGAAAGCCTGCGCACTCTCAGCGGATTTCGAGCAATTACGAGACGGGGATCAAACCAACGTGGGAACTAGGGGATCCCGGCTAAGTGGAGGGCAGCAAATGCGTCTTGTAAGCAACAATGTGTCCACCAGCGAACATGTGTATGTGTGCGTCGCTAACAGCTTACCGTCGCCAGTCGTTGGCAAGAGCCCTTTACTCTAGAAATCAAGTCATGGTACTTGACGACGTGCTTACCGGTCTTGATCGAGCCACCGAAGCAAGCATTCTTGATGCAGTTTTCGGCCCCGGCGGGCTCTTCAAGTCGTCGCACACTACCGTGGTGCTGACCACAAATTCGAGTAAGCAGCTGTTCCCAGGTACGAAGTGCTGGAGATGCTTGGCTAACAAACGAGAACAATAAAAGTCAACCATATTCAATATGCAGAATATATTGTTATTCTGAACAAGGATGGGACTGTTGCCGAGCAAGGTACCAAGGACTCTCTGTCGGCCTCTGGAGGCTATATAGAGCGATTAGCAGGCATAGTGCAGGGGACTACCGCTCGACCAGAGCTGCTACTGGGGGAGGAGACGCTTCAGGAGCTCGGCCTACCTGACGAGGACGAAGAGCAAGATGTCACGAGTCGCGGAACAAGTGACTGGAGAATCTACGCTTACTTTATTCACGTCGCGGGGAAATGGACCTTCCTCTTGTATCTATTTGGATGCGCGTGCTTCATTTTCGGGCTCAATTTTCCTTGTAAGTTGATGACCGGAAAAGTCTTCACCACTTATTGGCAAGTTGCTAACACGGCCATAGCAATTTGGTTGCAGTGGTGGACCAACGCCAACGCAGAGAGGCCCAACGACAAGATCGGCTACTATGTAGGCATCTACAGCCTGCTTGGAGCTTTGGCAGTTTTGGGTTGTTTTGGCTCAGATTGGTAATTCGTCATGTCTCCATAGCTACGCTGTTATCTAATCACGTTTCCCAGGATATTCAACATCGTTCTGCTACCCAAAATATCGAGAAAGTTTCACGAGCTTTTGCTCGCGACAACCATGAAGTTAGTCTTGCCTTTTCAATATTATTTCTTGTTTGACATGCTAACTTATCTTTTAAGCGCACCAACATCCTTCTTAACATCAACTGACGTTGGTCAAATTGCCAACAGGTATGTTTCCATGGCTTACTTGAAACATTGGCTAGGCTACTGACGCAGAGTTCTCTTTTCAATCAACAGGTTTAGTCAAGATCTGCAGTTAGTCGACAACGATCTGGCACATGCTCTAGACCAGACAGTTGTCCAGCTATTTACCGTTGTCATTTCTGCTGTTTTAGTCTTCACCGGCTCAGGCTACTTGGCAGCAACAGTTCCCGTGTGCATCTTCTTCGTCTACATGATACAGTTTTACTATTTACGCACATCACGTCAGCTTCGGATTATAGACATTGAAGCTAAAGCCCCTTTATTCTCTCAGTTCCTGGAAACTCTGGCGGGTGTGTCCTGTATCCGTGCCTACGGATGGACAGAGGACTACCTCCAACGTAATTACCACGTGCTTAATACATCTCAGAGGCCCTATTATCTACTCTGGTGCATACAAAGATGGCTTAATTTAGTTCTAGATTTAATGGTCGGAGGCATCGCTATTATTCTGGTTGCTTTTGCAACCGCTACGTCCGGTGGAAAGACTGGTTATCTTGGTGTTGCGCTGTTTGGAATCATCAACTTTAGTGGCACACTTCAGACTCTTATTGCGCAGTGGACACAGTTGGAGACGGCTCTTGGCGCTATAAGTCGCATAAAATCATACGTCTCAAACACTCCATCCGAAAACAAAGGGGCTAATACACGTGATCCTCCGGAGGGCTGGCCATTAAATGGCACAATCGACTTTAGTAACGTCTCGGCCTCCTATCAGTCTTCTCTGGAGCCGGTCTTAAAAGGTATTAATCTATCTATAACAGCTGGCGAGAAGGTGGCAATTTGCGGCCGCACAGGCAGGTGAGTTTTCGTCCGCTTCTTGCTACACGACTTTGAAGGGTCGGTGTTGACTTTCTGCTCTTTTACGCAGTGGTAAAACGTCTTTGATCTCTACATTATTACGCCTTCTTGAGCTGGATGCCGGCAATATTACTATTGATGGTGTTGACATTAGTACGGTTCCCCGGCAGGAGGTGCGCTTACGGCTGAACACACTGCCTCAAGAGCCGTTCTTCTTACAGGGTAGTATACGCGATAATATTGATTTATTGCACTTATCGAACGACGAGTCTATTATTGCCGCGCTTCGGTCCGTAAATCTGTGGGAGATGTTGGAGAAACGCGGTGGGCTGGACGAGATGATCAGTGAAGAGCTTCTCTCACATGGGCAGCGGCAGCTATTCTGCCTTGCACGCGCCATGGTGAAACCCAGCAGTATAGTCATTATAGATGAGGCAACAAGCAGGTATGTGACAAGTCCAAATTTTAGAGACGTCTCTATGGTTCCCTCCCTTGCATAGTTTGCCACAAAATACGGCCGCGTATCTATTCGCCTCACGCAATTACATTACTAATGATTCCACAGTGTCAACTCTGATGAAGAAGAACTAATGCAACGATTCCTACAAGATGAGTTTCGTGGTCGCACCATTATCGCCGTTGCTCACAAGTTACATACTGTGTTGGACTTTGACCGCGTGGTGCTTATGGACAACGGTCGCATTCTTGAGAACGGTAATCCGCGGGAGCTTCTCGCGAACTCCCTCTCTGCTTTCCATTCTCTGTACATGAGTTTATCCAGTGTGTCGGGAAGAAATATGAAGAATGAAAAAAGTTGAATGCTGTTCAAGGAAATTGAAGCTTGCAAATGTCACGGCAAGACAACAAAGGTATCGGAAATTGTGGGAAGACCTCATAGAAGCATAGAACAAGTCAAACCGATCTCTCCAGATTTTCTGCCACTACATGCGAAGCATAAATCCGGATACATGAAAAACGTAAGCGTGATGGGGTCAGAAGACGCGAGGACCAAGTCACAGTGTGGACTCGGCAATAAGAGTCCCAAGCGAAGCAAGTAGAGTTAAGGGTAGGTTAATGCTCGTCGACTAATTCTATCAACGCAGTGAATCTTTTGGCCCTGCCATGTACACAATAGTGATTTTCTCTGACCGCTCCTTCTACTGCTCGCTGCTGCCACGGGTCTTGTTGCTGTACGGCCGACCATTTATCACCGCTTTCAGCTCACTTCTTAATCGCAATGTTGTATACCATGGCTGCATTATAGTCTCATTAGCCCTAAGTCTATCAGAGCAGTAGCCCCATGAGACGAAAACTGGCCGCAAATGATGCATTTTCCTTCTTCTTCTGATGCACTTATTGAGACTATGGACTAGGTAGATGCCTTTACCATACTACGTCTTACATACGGTGAGAACCAACGTCCCATCCAGGTGGATTGACGTCCCCATAGATTCTGCAGTCATCCTGCAGTAGCCGAGCTACTACTCACAGAGTAAGCACAGACAGCATGCTTACTGTGCTCTGCTAGCAAGTGCAAGGATCTTCAGCCTGATTTGAATCACCGTTGGCGGCACAAAGCAGCCGAACTAGCTTGTTTGATTTCCGAGGCGCGTCGTTCAACTCCGACATGGATACCAACGTCTAGCGGCGATTATAAATACTTTAACTACTCTCATAGTTTGCTGACGGGTGCAGGAATTTACTCGCAGGCTGCATTACAAGATGCGTTCAGCAGTCGTCGCCTTTTTGATTGCTTGGATGGGGTCCTTGTCCCTCTGCAATGGGAGAGAAAATCCCGCGGCCCGACGGCACCCAAAGTTCACTCGACGCGCTGTTCCCTTTGACAAATGGACTCGGAACGGCCCAGTTCCTAGGAAATTCGACAGCGTTAGTACAAGGAGTAAGTAAAATGGTAGTCGAGCTGCTACGGTTTGTAAGCTCGATAAAATATTGCAAACGGTAAGCCAACTAATTAAACCATGAATACAGGATTCGCTGTTAATGGCACCGGGATTCCTGATGTTGCTTTTGACATTGGTGAAGCATATGCGGGGACGCTTTCCACTACAAAAGATCTGAATGGAACTGAGAGATTCTACTTCTGGTTCCAACCTTCACCTAATCCGACTGCGAAGAAGGAGATTGTTATTTGGCTTAATGGTGGTGTAAGTGATGAGCAATGTCGGAGGATACAGGAGCTGAGCACTATAACCATGATACTGATTCGATTACTTCTGGTCTCGATACTAACTCTCTTCACGATATTTTAGCCAGGATGCTCATCCCTTGAGGGACTTCTGCAAGAGAATGGGCCTTTCTTATGGCAGTATGGCACCTATAAACCCGTCCCGAACCCGTGGAGCTGGCACCATCTCAGTAACGTGCTTTGGGTAGAACAGCCAATTGGCACAGGCTTCTCTCAGGGACATGTGACGGCTAGGAATGAGGAGGATGTAGCAAAGCAGTTTTTGGGCTTCTTTAAGAATTTTGTTGAGACATTTTCCACGCAAGGATACAAGGTGTACATCACGGGGGAGTCTTACGCGTAAGTCTTTGTGCAAAGTCCAAAACGCGTTGAATTCGACTAATAGAATTGATTATAGCGGCATGTACTGCCCGTATATCGCAAGCGCTATGCTAGATGCAAATGATACAACCCATTTCAACATGAAGGGCATGATGATCTACGACCCTGTTATTGGCGTTACCAGGCTTCAAAACGACATTGTCACCGTTCCTTTTATCGATTCCAACAGAAACTTGTTTCCACTCAACGATTCATTCGTCAAGGAAATCCACCGTGCTGATAAAGATTGCGGCTTTGCCGCGTTGCGTGCAAAACATCTCAAATACCCACCTAATAGTCGACTGCCCTCCGTCTTGCCTGGCCTCGACCCAAAGACGGGTGACGTGCTTCCAGGCTGCAGTCTCTCGCAGCGTGTTGAAGATGCCGTCACTGCGCTCAATCCTTGCTTCAACATATACCAGATAGCAACAACCTGCCCGCTGCTATGGGACGTGCTTGGCTTCCCTGGTGCCTTTGAGTATCTACCTCGGGGTGCATCCATCTACTTTAACCGTACAGACGTCAAGAAAGCTATCAATGCTCCTCTCGATGTGAATTGGATGTCATGTTCCGACGAATCTGTCTTCGCTGGGGATGGTGCGGACCACTCCGAGCCATCTTCCGATAATGTCCTGGGTCGTGTCATAGACGGCACGCAAAATGTTATCATTGGCCACGGGGCATTAGACTTTGGTCTCATCGCAAATGGCACACTTATGGCAATTCAGAACATGACTTTTGGTGGAAAGCAGGGCTTCCAGAAGCGCCCTATCGAACAATTCTACGTCCCCTACCACACTGATGGCACTGATGCCACATTAGCAGGCGCCGGTGTCTTTGGCACGGCTCATACGGAACGTGGCCTAACATATGTTGAAGTTTCGCTGGCCGGCCATATGGTTCCGCAGTATGCACCAAGCGCCGCGTATCGACATCTTGAGTTTCTTCTTGGCCGTGTCGATTCGCTTAGCAGCATGAAGCCCTTTACTACAAATAATGAGAGTTCTGTGTAGATGAAGACTGAACATGCATCACAAGGTGCCCCTTCAATTAAAGACAAAGGTCGCAGCGATCAGGTTTACTAGCTACATATGCAGTCTCTAATTCAAACCTTCTCGATGACTTATTAGATGACGAACTGGTCTTGCTTTCCGCCATTAGTTTGCATGCTTATGGCTGGCCATCTGACTTTCCGTACTGGTTTGGTAGCATTGTTGCACAGCTACGTGTAAGTTGCGCCCTATGCGTTAGTTATGTCGTCCTACGCTCAGCTTCTATTAATAAAGCTTGGTAACAAAACGTTGTCAAGCATTACCGTTCCTGGCTACTGCAGAGACGCAAATAGACTGTTTAATATTGTACTTGCGGTCGCTCTATTACAACTCGAAACAACTTTTGTTCTTCATTCCCCGGCTAGCACGATGATAATTCTCGACTTGAGAGGAGAGGAACAGGATAACGCCAATAGCAGGGACGCTCTTCTACTCGGAGACTGAAGTCAAATTTCGCACAAAGAGCTCTCAAGATACTATAGGATATGAAGCGATTCTGGTCTAGTTATTGGTGCTTGTTTTGGTTTGCTTTACCCCTTTTTGCTCACTGCATCATGAGTTTCAACAGGCATACCTGCCGCTCTTCAACGTCCAATTCATCAGGAACTCTGCGTTTGAAAAACGTATCCCACAGCCATGATCAAAATTGGGATTATCTACTCACCCCGAATGGGGAATTCTTCTTCGAGAAACGCCGAGGAATAGGTGAGTTGTAAGCCTTCGGCATCTCCATGTTCCATCAGCTCCATTGCCTTTCAATGGTTCCTATGGCGCTGCAACAAGAAAGCCATGCTACGGAGCTGTTACATCCTACAAGAGAAGACCGTGGTATTCTGCATAGTGTTTTTCTCCTCCTCAAAGCCTTTTCTATGATAAATGTAAAAATACCCAACCAGAACAATACCAACTCAAAGTGTAAAGAACCCATGTCAGTGGCTAATTGAGAAAACCTTTTGCCTTCCAAGACGACACATAGGACTGCACCACCTCAGCACTCACCGGCCCTTCCGAAGCCAGGTTTTGGAATTCTCAATTGATCTTTGCGTGTCCAAAACGATACCCCCGCAAGCCATGCGCTCAATGTGGCCCTCGAGGAAGTCCAGGGCGAGGGCGGCTGGGTTCCCAGCCGGGGGGGAGAGGCGATTGACGAACCCGTTTAATCCACTCTTCAAAGGAAACGATGCCATGGGGAGGAATATCCAAGGCAGCCGCTAGAGCCATCGACATTTCCTTCCACGGCTGGCCGACGGGGTTGTCGACGTGATAGACCGATCCTGCGCGGCTGGATTCCTACCGCCATGTCGCGCGCCAGATCCAGCAGGCTCCGCATCACCTTGATCCGGGGCTCAAAAACTTTGAGTGGCCGCTTGGCGCTCCTGGGCCAGGCGTTGTAGATGATGTGTGTGTGCCGTACTGCGCCAGCCAGGTGTACTCCTGGTCCGATAGACGTAGCTGCGGCTTGGAGGCGTCGGTGCCGTATACCTCCATGCCTCTCGAAGATAGTGCCTCTCAAGCTACCTGCCGCTTGTCGGCGGGCACGTCACTGATGGTGCGGTTGATGCAAACCACAGTGGCGACATGCGGCCGCTCGGCGAGTGCTTGAACAATGTGCGACCCAACGCTGCCCGAAGCGCCGGTCACGACCACCACGGCTCCGGCACGGGGGCGGGTGCCAATAGTGCCGTTCGCCGCATCCTCAAGTTCGGCCGAGTCCCAACCTGTCGTGTAGACTGCCACTAGGCGCATTACCTCTGCCTCACGGGCTGCTACATCAACCCTATTAATGACTTTCACCGCTAGGACAGGTGAATTCCTCACCAAGTCCCGACGTTTGGTGGTGACGTCCGGGACGATACCGGACGCGCCTCCGGTGTGGCCGATTGTGACCCTTGGCCGAGCCGATGGGCAGAACGGTATCGCGCAGAGGACCAGCCACGGCGTTGCGTATGCTCTCCCACTCTACAGAGTTTCCGACGGGCGTGCCAGTGCCATGACACTTGGCCAGCGAAATGTCGCGCGAGTCTACGCGAGCTTTGCAGATGGCGTGATGGAAGAGTGTCGACAGCGAAGGTACGTTGGGAACAAACACCCGTAGAGCGCACGGTGCCTTATGTAGGACCATGTTACCGTCCGGCGTCGGCCACGGCGCTGGATAACTCAATCTTCGGGAGGTCGTGGGCGATGCCGTCGCCGCGGCAGTAACCATCAGCATTAAAGTCAAAGGGTTTGCACTGGCCAGTTGGGCTGATGAAGCTGCCGGCGGCGAGGTTTTGTGTCCACTGCAGGTTTAGAGCGCCGCCGGGACCTCGCCCGACAGCAGATCCCGGCAGGCCATGTGAAGAGGGCCGTCGTCGACAACGAGCATGCTGCATCAGAGGCCAAGGACGGGCCCGTCCACCCGAAGTGTTGCGACACTCTTCCGGGGATGAAGCTTCTCAGCACCCCCGTCCCCATGAAGGCGCTGGTCGGATGGCAATAGACGTTAACACCGTACTCGTAGGAGCAGAGGCCGACGTCGACGCCCACGTGCGTTCCGTCTTTGGAGGTCAGCGGCGCTGGTCGTGGCCGGCTCGTTGAAATACCCGGACTGTTGGAGAGCTTGGTAGGCGGCCTCGAGCGAAAGACGACAAGAGTCCACGCCACCAAGATTAGCATTCCCGTATGCGCTGCAGATCGCATTAGTACGCCTGCTTGAAGCCTGGGGCAGGACGCGGTCAGCGGTCGCAAGCCACTCGTCGGGCGGGATCGCGGCCGTCTTCGCCATGGATGTCCTCACGCATCGTCAGGCCATGGCGACGGCCTACCACCGCGTCATACTCGTAGCATACAAGACACCGCGCGCCGGGTGCTGCCAAGGGTGCTATGGCGGCGGTCGGTTTGGGTGTTAATGCGGTGCGGTCCTACTTCGACATGCTAACCGAGGGGAATGGCAAAGCCGTTGTTGCATGCGTCAACAGCCCCCAGAGCGCCACCATCTCTGGTGATGCCGACGCCGTTCGAGAGATGGAGGACTTGTGCAAGCAAAATGGCGTGTTCGCTCGTCGTCTCGGGGTTCAACAGGCATACCACTCACACCATATGGATCCTTTCGCTGATGCCTATCGAGAGCGCCTTCGAGTCGAAATGGCGCAAGTTGTGGTTCAAGGTGGTTTAACCCGCTGGCTCTCGCATACATCATGAAGAAGCTGGTTCCCACCAACACCAATGCCGAGGCAGACGTGGCCAGGAACCTCCAGCGGTTGTGTATTTAGTTACTTTGTCCATGATGCGCTACGATCTGTCACCTCAGAGAATGTAGCCCGCCTTCAGGAGCAGCCACATTCGGCCAAGTACTAACGTGCCACCCCACAACATCGTCAGCCCACCATTTTCGTCACATCCACAACGCCGCGATTACTGTAAGAGCCCTTTTTTTAACACTTAATAACTTTATTAAATTAAGCTCTTTTAACTCTAAATTTACATTATAGCCCTAATTTACATTATAGCCCCTATTAATATCACTTATAAGAATAGAATTAAAGCTGCTATTAAAGACGTTAATTCTAGCCTTTTAAAGGTTTAAGTAGCCTAAGATTATAGCTTTTCTTAAATAACTCTTTATAATTAACTTCACGGTTATTAATTAATTTAAGAGGCTAAGGTAAGCTCTTAATAATTATTATAAAGATAAGAGAAAGACCTAATAAATTAGATTTTATATAAGAAAAAAGCTAATAAGCTACTTAGCTATTATAACGTTTAAGCTATTATATAGGTTATTATAGCTTAGGGTAATAATAGTAACCTAATTAAAAAGTATTAGGTTAACCGCTTTCTTTAATATAACTTAATATTAAGGACTAGCTATACTATATGTTACGAACGACACTGCACAAGACACGGGACGGGACCGCACCGGCTAGGACAGGCACGACCCGTGGGCACAAGAAGAAGGCAGGGGCACGTGACCAGCCACGTGACCCAAGAGGCG